ACGTGGGACTCGATCCCGGGACTCCAGGATCATGACCTGAGCCGAAGGCAGTCGCTCAACCAACTGAGCCACCCAGGCGCCCAATAAATAAAATCTTTAAAAAGAAAAAAGAAAAGATAAATGATTGTGAAAATAGATAGGCTTGGATATGGAGGAAATGTAATTTTCATCCTTTTTAAAAAGAGAGAGAAAGAGAGACAGAGAGAAACAAAGAAACATCGCCAGAGTCCTCAGTGACCCACACATACCAAATTATACAGGATGGGGTAATCTGATTGCCCATTCTCCAATCAGCCAGCAGATGTGCTGCTGCATTCTGCATGAGCAGCAAGTGACAGAAAAGCCCTGCTGGAAGTCCTACTAAAAGAGAATTACAATAATCAAGCCTGCGCTCCATCAGGACATGTGTTACTGCAGCAAAATTAAATACAGAATCACAACCTGCCCAAAGCCTGAAAAGCAAAACACCATTGTCTTCCTCTCCCAAATGCCGCTCATTGAGAGAGGGGTCGATAGTTTTTCAAAATTGGGATCAAGCCTGGCATCATGACTTAGTTTGATTGATTGTGTGTGTGTGTGTGCACGCCATTCAATCACTGATTCAATTTCTCTTTGTTCTTTCTCCTGACGGACTTTTCCTTTGCTCAGGTTGTCCCCTTGATCTTGACTTCCAATCACGAGATTTCAATCAAAAGACTGAAAGTGAAGGATTTGGGAAGTATTTCCTCCGAAGAATACTTTAAATAAAATATGTGTGGTCTACAGTTTTTGTGTACCTCAATAAATATACTCCCACCATCGAAAAGTGTCTTGTCACCTTTGAATATGACAAACTAGGATCTTGGCTTCAGAAGAACCCTAGACCCCACCACCAGGTCATCGGATCAGTCGAGTCAAATGATGGTTACGTGTCTGAAGACGTCAGTCAACCTTGTTTTTACACGTATGATACACGGATTTGTGATTTTCAAACTGTGTTCCCCACGCTGCAGGGCTCCACAGAGCTGGGCATCATGGGAAGCAGAAAACAGCCCCAGAGTCGGGCATGCAGGCACTCGCTGCAGTCTGCCCCAGCCTGGCGTGTTCACCTCCGCCTCCGCTTCCGCCTCCACCACCACCTCCGCCACCACCGGACACTGGTGGGTGTCCGGCACAGCCCTTTCACCCAGCCCGGTTCAGGAGCCTCCTGATGGCTCTCCTCCTTCTTCTCCTGCCCACCTCCATCTGTTCTTCACACAGCAGGCCTGGCATTCTTTTTAAAACCTAAACTAGTTCAAATTTCACCCGTAAGTAAGCCCTTTTAAATGACTTCGCATTTCATTTCAAAGAAAATCCAAGCTCCTTACCTGTCCTTAAAAGACCCTGCATAAGCTGGCTGGCGTGCATCTCCCCATCCTCCTGGTTCATGCCATTCTCTCCCTTACTCACAGCTCCAGCTGTGGAAGAAAAAAGTCATCTCTCTGTGCCTTGAAAATACCACGCTCCTTCACACCTCAAGGAGGACAAACGTCCAGGCCTTTGCACATGCTATTATTCCCTCTGCTTGGAATGTTCTCTCCCCTTCTTTGCAGAGCTGACTCCTCTTTACTCTCAGTGTGAACCTCCATGTCCCCTCCCTCAAAAAGGCTGTCAAGCATTGTTTTCTATCATTATGGTCCTGTTCGTTTCTTTCACGGCAGCCATCCCGATGAGCAACAATTTATTTGTTCAACTTACGACTTTACTGAGTATATCCCCAACTAGACCGAATGCCAAGAGCAGTGCCCCCCAAGGCAGGGACCCATTCAGAGGTTCCTTGCAGGCTGGGTCCCTGCCTTGTCTCACCATCAGCTCCTCGCAAAATGATAATGCCATTAATGTTTAATACCTAAACAAAGGAAGGAAGGAAGAAATGAAGAAATAAATGAAAAAATTGGCCCATATATAACAGGAGAATATTATAAGTGGTAGGCCTAACCATTGTGGTCATATCATTATGGCCTGAAATTTAAATTGAAGTGAATGCTGTACATGCCCTTTCGTCCCACATCCAAGGGGAAGAGGAGAAGGAAAGAGATTAGGAGTATGTTTGGGATCTGGTTCTCCTCACTCCACCTGGCCTTGCCTCCTGTTTGATGGGGGTAAACTAAGGCAAGCACTGGATACTCCTGAGCCTCCTCTTAGAGCATCTTGATTTATGCAGCAATCTTTTCTTATTGGTCCACGGTCCGCCTCATGTGTGGCTCAGGCAGCATTTTCCACACTTTCTCCCCAATTCTGTGAGGTCTCCTGGAGCCCATATAACATCTGGCAGCATCCTGAAATCACACGTCTGGATGCTGCAAAGGTATCTCCATATATTACCTTCCTGCTCTATAGGGAGAAATGTTATTTTTGGTTGAAATCACTTTTTCATTTACCCCAGGTCAAAGGAAGTTCATTCTCCCCATTGTTCAATTTTGCTCTAAGTCAAATTTTTAAATTTTGTCTCATTTTAAAATAAACTACTTCCAAATGTACTATTTTACACAGATATGTAGCTGAAAGCAAAGGCATGTGATTGAGTCTAATTTACAAGAATGAATATATATATATGAAAATTAAGCCTTATTTTAAATTGTAACTCACCATGCAATGTCTGTCAATGGTTTCTATACAACCATTTATCACACAATTTATCAATACACTTACCCTTATTTTAATGTCAAAAAGATTGTGAATTCAAATCTGCCTTTATACTGGGAAAAAGCTCACCTACAAGAAAGCTTTAACTCAGTACCAAAAAGATAGAAGAAATTGATTTATTGTAAAAATTCTAGAAGCAAGTGATATAACAACTTTCACAAATGATGTTCATTTTAAAACTGAACATCCATACCCAGTTAATAAACAAAATGAAATAACACTCTATCACCTCTACATGCTAACGAAATTATAAAGCAATGCTCACACCATCTGGGAGAAATCCATGTGTTTCCATTTGTTTTAATAATATGGTCAAATCTTGAGAAAATAAAACCTCAAAAAATCATCAAGTGTAAATAAGAAAAATGATTGCCAGTCTTTAAATACTAAGGTTAAATCCAGCCAAATGGATTTTCTTGAAAAATAATTTGTGGCATATATAATTTTGGCTTCCAAAATATTTTGGAAAGGAATTAATTTCTCCAAAGATCTGATGTTTGCATATAAAACTGCCTGGTGACCCATCCCAGCTCTGTTATAATTACTTCTCAACCTTTTCTCTGTATTTCTTTACTAATCTATATATACTCTTTTTTTTTCCTTTTACTTTAATTTCTCCCTTTGTTGTCTTTCTCATTACTTTCTAAGGAAAAAAAAAAAAAACTTAGGGGCAGAGGAAGGATTCCTCCATTCGTAGTTTTTCCTCATTCATGTGATGAGCAACAAGCACCAAAATGTTTCCCATCAGAGCCAGTCACTTGAAAAATTGGGGTTTGGGTACACTGTGTCTTTGGCAGGCCACTGTCTTTTTTTACACATGTAAGAGGCCTGCCTTCTCCCACCAGGGACACCCACTCTGCCACCCTAATCTTGGTCATGACCTATTACTTCCATACCTACCCCTCCAAGTAGTCTGACTGTTGTCTGCTCTCTACCTCATTATCACAGCGTACCTACTTTGTGGGGCTCATTCTTACAGAAATATCCTTTCGTGGAGGCACTGAGACTAAGTGGAAAGAACATGGGCTTTGGAGCTCAACACCTCAGAGTTTAAATCCTAGCTATGCAATCCATAGCTGTGTGACTTTTGGCAAGTTACTTAACCTCTCTGAGATGCAGTCTCCCTGGATTAAATAGGAACAATAATTTCTTCCGCCTTTGTTGATAGGAGGTTTAAATATAATAAATGCAAAGGGGTTTTTACAGAGGCTGGTATATAGTAAGTACTTAATAAATGAAGAAATGGTAGCTATAATAATTAATATGTTAATCTAACTTTCAGTCTGGAAAATGTCTGATCGACAAATAAATGTAAACATATAAAGAGTTGATATAAGCTTGACACTAAAGCTATCAAAGAGCATTTTTGGCCTAGGGTTATTATAGTTCAAGAAATATCACACAGACCTTTACCTCTCTTTTTGCATCCTAAGATCAGGCTTGATCTTAGGTTCCAAGTTCTAAAAACACTGGTTATAAATTAGAATGAGATGAACACGCATTCAGAAAGAAGGCACAAAAAAGGCAAAAGCAATCCATGAATCAAGAAATTTAGTTACTTTTTCAAAAAATTGCCTTCAGGTCGGCAAACTTTTATAAGGTACTTCCTGCCAGACCCCGGGAACATGGAGATGACTAAACCATGCTCCCTGATAGCAAGGAATTGGCACACCAGTGAAGGACCGTTCGCCTAAGCTGCAGTCCAGGAAAGGCTTTCCGATAAAGATGACACCTGAACTGTCCTGAAAAATGAATCCAAATTATCCATGTGAAGAAAGATGGGAGGGCAACCACTGCAGGCACAATGAACTGCTTGAGGAGAAGCATGAAATACTAGGGTGTGTGCAGAGAAGCATCCAGAAATAAAGTGTTATGAGAACATCAAACGTGCAGCGGAATGGCAGCAAAGGAGGTCTGAGCAGGGCACAGGACACAGAGGGCCTTATCAACTGTGCTAAGAAGCCTGCCCTTCGTTCTCTCTGTGGTGGAAGTACATGGAAGGGAGCTGCCCTGAATGGATTTGGTCTGAAGGGTCAGGATCACTCTGGCTGCCGTGTAGAGGTCAGCTTGGGGACGGGGTTAGAGGCAAGGGGTGTGAGAGTAGAAGCAGGAACATGAGTTAGGCTTGAGCTGCAGAAACCCAAGAGCAAGCACAAGCACAAGAGCTTCTGCTGGGAGATGCTATAAGAGGACAGATCCAAGAAATGCTTAGAAGGTAAAATCAACAGGTTATACATAAAACCGTGAAGAAGTAAATGAGTATCAAAATGTCAGCCTTTGACTAATGGTTTCCAAATACTCGCCGTAGTCACAAGTACTAAGTTCCCTCCATTAACAGCAGGTCCTGATTTGCCATCTACGAATCCATGTCTTTACTCACTAAACCAAGCCCATTTGTTTAATGAGATGTTTTAAATTACTATTGTCAATTTTCAAGAAGTACATGGAGCTTTGGAGCTGGACACACAGCTAGACTCCAAAAAGATGTTTCCTTTTGTGTGTGTGTGTTAGGTCCTATTTCTCCAAGTTTTAAATTAATTAGTGCAGATATAAGACTATGTCCACACACTCAAATTATCTGACAATCTTAAATAAGATAGCAAATGTTCTTGATCAAATAAGCATTTTTAACAGTGTTGTAAACACCAAATTGACTCATCAATTCAATCAAGATGGCTGAATTAGCTGTCCTGTTGACACAGTTTCTTGTTAAAAAACAAAAATGATCTGCCATTGCACAACAGCCAAATGTTCTTATGCATTGGGGTGTGATGCATCAAAAAACAAACAGAATTTTACAACTAGAGTGCCTAACCAAGTAGCTTTAAGCATTGGTGAGTGATGGGAAAACTTGTAATAGATTTAAAAATCCATTAAAAATTGGTTAATAGCTTTCCCTCAACAATAGCCACACTATTGAATGGAGATGTTCTAATGCATTCATTATTTTTTTTTTTTGCATTCAGTATTTTAAAATATTGGTGTGTTAAATGCCACACTAAAAAATGGGTACAAGGTTTCTTTTGGAGGTGATGAAAATATTCTAAAATTAGATTGTAGTGGAGGTTACACAACTCTGTGGATACACTAAAATTCATTGATTTGTACACTTAAAATGGGTGCTTTTTAGAGTATGTAAATTATATCTCAATAAAGCTGTTTTAAAAAGCCAAAAGAAGAAGCGTTTGCAATCACACACCAATTCTCTCTCTCTGAAAAAGAGAGGGATTTCCAAATGAACAACAACCATGGTCTCCTATGTAAAGATTACTTGGAGGAGGAGACATCAGGATCCTGAAGGAGACTATAAATGTCATCACTACCACCACCAACAAAACATGGTGGGTAATTTGAAAAAGATCATCAATATTCTCAGACCCAAAAGTTTGAAATATTCTTGGAGACTTAGCCATGATCACACAAGGCCATAGAAAGAACACAAGGAAAGTCACAGGATGTACATTAGAGGTACCAGCTAAGAACTTCCAGTGGTAAAAGGCCACGTGGGTGCTCTTTGGGGAAACAATGCAGCATCTTGGACTTGCTCTGGGACTTCAATAATGAATATGATGAATTTGAGTAGGCAAAACAAAGCTGGGGCAGAGATGGCATGGAACAAAGGCCAAGAAGTAGAATGATCATGAAAAGGGATAGAGAGGCAGTGAAGAGGTATCTGAGAAAAGGTGCTGTCAACTTGGGAAGGGTAGTAAGAATTACACCAGTTGGGTCAAGTTTTTGAAAAATCTACCAGCAACAGAGTCTCTACTTAAAT